ATATATAACTATTTAATTCCATATTCAAAGTTACATGTATTCTATTTATGATAAGTATGAAATCAAAAAGTTTCACTGTATTTAAATATATATTGATATTTAAAATAATAATATAATTTAATATCTTTTTCTTTTATTTATTATAATTAAAATATTTTTGACTTAGAATAATAAAGTAGTAGATTCTAATTATTTAAATAAATTGAATTTCAGATAAATGTAGGTCTTAAAAATTGCTATGAAGTTATTGAACTTTCTCCTGCCAAACTGTATTTTTTTAGGATACAGGTAATATTATTTAAGTGTTGTTTTAGACAATACATACAAATTATTAGTTTAAGAAAGTTCTTGAAACTAACATTTATTTATTTTATTGTAGTGTATTTTAGGATTTTAAAAATTTTGTTGCTGTTGGTTTTTTTAAAATTACAGGCAGTCAATTCTGCTGGTGCTGGAGCATTCAGCGAAGTAATATCCTGTCTGACATCAGCATCTCCACCATCCGCCATATTATCTTCGTCCCTTGAAACAACTTGTACTGCCACAACAATGACTTTAAAATGGCAAGAACCAAGTTGTAATGGTTCAGATATTTTGCTATATAATATTGAAGTAGGTGATCTTTTATATGCTACGGAAGGAAATATCACTGAAATTTTAATTGAAGATTTATCACCTGAAACAACTTATAGGTAATTAAAATCTAGAACAGTATTTTCAGCCAGTCTTTGAGTAAATTCTTTACTTACTTTTATAACATTAATTTATTATAGTATTATTGGAACTGGAATTTTCATCAGGGTCTCAAATGAAAATTCTCAATTGCTTTTTTTTTTAATTTTTGAGATTATTCTAAGAAATGGAAAAGTGTAACAGCTTTGAGCACATATGCAGTGATTTTATATAGAAATATTTGACATGCCTGGCAAAATTGTGGGTACCAAGTTGATCATCAAATTTTAAATTTTTGAAATTTACTAGAAAATGTGTATTTTGGATGACTCAGGCAAATCCAAATGTAATGGCTTGCAGCATTTCTTCAATGTAATCATTGTAATATGTATATTTGCATTAATTGCATTAATTACTTTATAATAAGCAGATAATGTCATGTATATTTCAGTTAAAGTAGACCTCTTTCATATTCCATTTCTTAGCAGGAGTAATCTTGGGAAAATAAATTGAGCAGTTCTGAAATGTTTATTTTGTCAGCAAGTTTCATACTCTATTAAATTACAATGTAGTATGATTTTCAATTTTGGATTATACAAAAATATCATTGTATTATTCCTTCTACTACTTTTATTAACAATAATAATTAAAATTATACATTTTGTCTTTTGCGTGTAATAAACATCAAAGATAAGAGTGTTGATTTGTTAAATTTCAACTCTGTAAAAATATTTTAATACTCAATATTATGTTTTTAATCAAAATATTAATAGCAGATGTAAGCAACTAGTAATTAATCTTATCATTATTTTTTCAGGATAAGGATACAAGCTGTTAACAGTATAGGTCCTGGTCCATATAGTTCTGCTGTGAAAACAAATACTCTCTGTTTGCCTCCTTCACCACCAAAATTGACTTGTGTGGCTGCATATCATAATAGTATAAGGCTGAAATGGGGTGAAGGACGAAATACGGATCTAATTCACTATATTCTAGAATTAGAAAATAAAGCAGGAAGGTAGGTCTAGTTTATAAAAATTTGATATGTTCATTATTATAAATAATGATGAATTATATAACAAAGTTAAAATATGATCAATATTGTCATATGTCTTATAAATTATTTTTTTGTTTTTATAGTTTTATTCCAGTATATCAAGGCACCAATTATGTCTACAAGGTCAGTAAACTACAAGAATCTACGCTGTATAATTTTCGTATATGTGCAGCAAATATTGCTGGAACAGGAGAACGTTCAAAAGTGTATTCTTTTTGTACAACAAAATCTCCTCCTCCTACAATTAAAGGTAAATAACTTTTTAGTTCTTGTTATGTAGATTTGAGCAAATAATAATTATTTCAACTTAATGAAGTAATAACCAGAAATTATTTTAAAAATAGTCTTATTAATTAAATAAATTATTTTTTTTAATAAATTATTAAACATTTTCAGAATATATTCATTCCATCTTCAAAATATTTAGGAACTGACAAAGAAAATTAAATGATTTTTAAATATACTTACATACAGAAAAATTTAATTATGAATTATCAAAAATAAATGAGATTTGGCTGCCATCCCCTTCAAATTAGTCTCCTGAATTTATGTCAAGCTCTTTGCAAGTTTGTCTCAAAAGTTCTAGAGGAAGTTAGATTTTCTTGACTGTATTGAAACACCATCCCTTCAGCTTCAATTTTATTCTGAAGAACAAAAAAAAAGTCACAAGGGGCTAAATCCAGCAAGTAAGGAGGGTGGAAAAGGAATGTTGTGCTATTTTCCACCAAAAACACACATTTTGAAAGCTGTGTGTGTGAAAGCATTGTGACAGTCAGGTTTGACTTCCCAAGGCATTTCAAAGGTTTCTGTTGTAGATTTTCCAAAGTTTAATCTAAAAGTTAACATTTTCTCTTTGCTCAATTTTCATCTCTAGTTTTGAACCACAGCATGATACTAACATAGTATGAAATCACATGTAGCATATATTTCACATTGAAAATCTCAAAATCACATGGCAAACTGGCATACAAATGTGTAAAGTCCCTAGTGGCAAAAAGATATACTTCATGTTGGTGCTGAATAGCAGGAACAGTTCAGTTTCTTTTTGATCATACCTAGTATATTTAATATGTATTTTTTGTTATAATAGAAAACTGCTATAAATTATCATTTAAAATGTGATAAATATTCAATTGAGATTATATTCTAGATGAAAACAGTGTTACAGTAGAGCGTCGGTTATTCGAAGGAATTCCAGTCGACAAATTTAAATTTTCCCCAGTGCTGTGACGCTGTAATCTTTGGCTACATCTTTGGCTACTCAAATATTTTACGTATTATTTTGATATACAATATTTTGATACTAAATTAACTTCTGAAGTATAATTTTTTATTGTTTTTATATTTTTCAATATATTTATTTTGTTTGTACAAAATTTAAAAAAAATTTTTAACGATACAATAGTCTTCGTTAGGCTTAACATCGACGAAAACTCAACGTGAAGCGACACGCAACGGAGAAAAATTTCAACACGGGATAAATTAATATATTTTTTCATACATAATTGGTTATCTGAAAAATAAGTCATCTGAACAACCCCAGTCCCCAATTGATTTGAATAAACGACGCTCTACTGTATATCAATACATTTAGTATTAAATTTCTGTTTTTTTAATTATTACATATTTCCAGCACCAAGAATCTCAGCTATTACTCAGACATCTTGCAAAGCAGAATGGCAGATGGCTAAGCCAATAGGAAATGATTCAATAACATATCAACTTCAATTGTTTGAGAATCAAGACTCAGAATTTAAAACTGTAAATATTAATTTTTTTATTTTATAATAATTTGTTTCTTCCCAAAGTTCCTAAAATCATGATTTTATATTTTTTATAGTTATATCAAGGTATTGAAACGTCTTTTTATATAGAAAATCTTTCTCCGAACACAACCTATGATATCAGAGTCGGAGCCATAAGACATTGTAAAGACAGTGGGGAAAATATTCCGGGTGCTTTTAGTTCTAGTACAAGTTTTACGACCTTGAATCAGGATATTACATCAAGGACCAATTTTCAAAAAGAAGAACAATCTACGGGATTGCTAAAGGAAAAATTGTTTTTTACGGATCAACAATGTGCATTTATTATTCTTAGTTGTTTTACGTTATTCGGAATCGTCGTCGCAGTCGTAATCCAAACCTTTTTGTCACGCAGTATTAGGTAATCACTTATATATAATTTTTCGATAATTATATTTCTTATATTATTACGAAAAGGATATACAGCTTTTTTGCTATATCCAGGGATAAGCCAACAAAATATCCTGTCGGAGTTTGCAAAATATCAATGTGAGAATCGACAAATATCAAAGTATTAGTGACATCGTTTGCAAATGTTTTTATATGGGTATGTTTGTTGTTTGAAAAGATGCAACGAACAGATTGATCTTACATGCAGATATGTCATATCGGGACAGCTAATTGATGCATATTAAACAATCATTTTTAAATTTATTAAAATATTTAATGAATACATTTCTTTTATATTTTACATCTTCTAGCAATCTTTTAGTTCCGCTAGCTTAAGAAAAATCAAAACCACTTTAATTAAATTTTGGCATGTCCCTGGAAGTTTACAAACAAATCAACATTTAAGTGCAATATTATGCTAGGCAACTGAATTATATATTATTCATAAAAAAGCCAGTTTTTTTATACTGCCTATATGCAGTCCAAGTAAATATTGCTTATGCAATTTAAAAAAAAATGGTAGTTTTATATTTTTTTATTTACTATATTTGATTTAAGCACAAAAATTGAGGGAGTTATCAGTAACTGAAAAAATAACAACACTAATAAAATCAAAAAAAAAAAAAATACAAAAAAAAAATTATATCCAGAGTCTTATATTGTATTATAATGTATTTTAAAACTTTTCCAGTGATGAAATATTGTGATTATTATATCTATATAAAAAGTTACAATATTTAATATAAACTAAATCCAAATAAAATTTGATCAAAAAGAAAAATGAAGTTACAAATTGAGACCCTATAATACTTCTTTCGAGTCGAACTGCAGGGATTCAGGATTTTCACCAAGAATATTAAATAGTGCTCGGGTTCAAATTATTGTCTGGAAGAAAAAACTTTTTGCATTTGTTTCTCTGGAAAAATTCCAATTAACTCTCTCGCATAACTATCAGTATTTCCTATTTTAATACAAACATCTTTTTACGAGTCGACACGAACTGTATCGGATTGTAATCGGCTATTATCCATATATCATGTATAAGCAAATAACTTAGTGTATTCTTATAAATATTATTTTTATACATAATTCCAAGGATTTTGATTTGTTTTATATAATATTTGCTATGTGAAATGGTGACTGGTATATATTTAGTAGCTTTATTTTTTTTGTTTGTTTTTTTTTACATTTTTTCTCCCCTGGCATTTAATATAAAGGAAAAAAAAACATTATTATTCGTGATTTCCAAATTAAAATATTTTGTAAAATTTATGTATTTAATTAAAGCAGCATGCATTGTGACGTTGTTAAGGCTTCTGACAGATTAAATGTTCCTGGGTGTTGAGTGTATTATACACAAAGTGTTTAACTTGAAGTGATATGTATGAAACTCAAATTCTTAAATACCAAGTGTTGTATCATGAAATAAAAATGCTGTTATAATTGTAAACGGTTGTTTTATTTTAAAAGCAATCTTTTACATATTTGCGCGCTCAAAATATAATGCATGCAATGATTAATATTTAATTGAAGGAAGGTAAGGTTTTTTTAAATAATCTTTAATATAGAGGTTATGATAAGTACATGATGATTAAATCATCATTATTATAATATATAGCATCTTCATTGTATACTTCAAACTTTCTAATATATATATATACAAATTGTAGTTATGGCAGTCAACAATGGTGTAACTGTACTTTTTTAAATACAGAACAAATATATATAAAGAATAACAACATAATGATGAAGTAATTTTCAAACTTTATTATGAATAAAGTACTATAAAAAGTTTCTTCACATAAATAAAAGTAGACAGAACTAAATAAATATTACTGCTACATTTATTTAAGTGATGCTAAATTTCAGAGATGAGAATGGTTAAGAAATTTTGCTTTCTTTTTTTTCCAATATACAGTACCTAAGTCTAGTATTGTGTATACATAAACTAAATAAGTTGTAGCTAGGACCTCATTCTCAAGACAGTATTGTACTTATTGCCCATTACACTCTTACCCAAAATTAAAGCAAAACACAGATTTACTGTACATGGCATAAACACAGAAATGAACAACAATTCATGGTACAAATCTCAGAGGTTGCCTGATAAGCTATTGATGTATCAGGAACACTTCCTCGCTGTTAGTGGTCAAGTAGACGATTATTTGTCATAAATTATTTTGCTGTATGTATAGAGTGCCACAAGGATGTGAGGTACTCTATAAACACAGTGAAATAATTTCTGACAAGTACTATTAAGCCTTAATTGCAGGACATTTGTGTGATCGATAGCATACTGCTTATTATTAGTACTGGTGATAAAAGTTTCAGCAACTCATGTTTCAAGGCCTTGATTTTTGTTTGTTGCTTTAATTTTGGGCATTAGCATATTTAGTGGATGAGGGCCTCTGTATGTTGTAGCATAGGCTTGCAACAGGTCTAAATCTGGCTTTATATGCAATTACAAAATGAATACTCATTTATTCTGATTGTGAGTATTCATAATAATGATTGCTATTGTAATTTCAAATAATTTCATTCTGACGAAGTGTGATTCTAAAATCTATAAGATGGCGCAAAATTTAATCATTGGAACCAGGATTACCTATGTCCATTCAATTAAATGTAATATACACAAGATGAGTTTGCACCTGAATCAATGTATACCTGAAGTATATATATATTTAACAGTTTTGAAGCAACAGTGTATATATCAATATATACACTGTTTATTGATTCATAAAGTAACTGTTAACACTATTTTATATGTACACACATATTTTGGCCATGTATCAAAACTGGGCTATAAAACTAAAGGTCATTGTAGCAAAAAGCTACAATGACCTTTAGTTTTATAGCCCAGTTTTAGCCTCAGCATGGGAAGACACCATTCTGACCAGGCATAGTTTATCATCATTCCTTAACTGTGTATGTTTATTTACAATTAATGAAGAAAGCTGAAATTATTTTGTGATGATGATGATAAACTAGATCATAGAAAAACAAAAATATAACACGTGTAATCTCAGGGTTAGAGGTGTGAGAAGATGGCAACCTTACTCGTGGGTTGGCCGGTTGGGCCTGAATAAAGGCCAACTTAGTGCTCTATGTGAGGAAAGAATTAAAAAAAACTTTTGCTAATAGAATACTAAATGTGCCAATAATTTAGCTGGTATATTTAATTAAGTTATACATTTCAAAATGATATTTATCATCAAAAATTCTTCATGGATTCACTTCAGAATTGCCTATTGATGGGCAGTTTTGAAGCCAAGTCATAGTTATATGGGATCTACAATTAAAAACAGTTAATGGCAAATTTTTAATATAAATATTCGTTGAAGATATTTAAATAAATAAATTTACTAGAGGCTGAATATTTTTATTAAACGTGTTTTATTTTCTTCAGAAGCCATCTAAAATATCACTAAAATTATTTCTGTGGTTAAGAAACTTTGAGGATAAACTGTGAACAATGTTTCCTCTATTTTTTTTTTTTTTGGTCGATGAGCAGAACATATACTTCTGAGCAAAAAAAATTTTTGCTGAGCGGATTCTGAGCAAAAAATTTTTCAGAGCATATATATATAAAACCTTTTTTTTTCTATAAAAATTAAAGTAATTAATTATAAAGTAGAGGTTAAAATTCATTTTAAAACATACTTTTATACAAAATATTATCTCTTGTCAACGATTTAATGTATTTAATTGAAATATAAGTAGCAATAATCATGTTGCAGAGAGAGTGAGAAATAAGTAAACAACAATTCAAATCGGTGTGCATGCTCGCCTGCGCGGCACATAAATTCTCGTGCGTGGCCACATAGCTTAGAGGGAACATTGACTGTGAACAGAAAGGCAGACTCTGCCATGACTCTTTCCTGAGGTGTGCAAAAGGACAAAATGAGAAGACATTTTTAACATATTGTCCATTTGGAAAAATGTTTTCATTGAGCTGCAATTTTCAAAAATTAGACATAAATTACCACTGGCACCTGTCTGTCCTTCCTTAATCTCGAGAATGGAGTTAGGTAGATAAAAGTCTAGAACATATATGGAAAGCTTAAGGGAAAGAGCTTCCAATTAACTATGTACGAGCTTTCGGTTTAAATCTGAAGTCACGTTATTTCAATTCAAAAATGTTCTCCTGCACAAATTTAGATGACCATACTAGTTCAAAAATGTTCTCCTGCACAAATTTAGATGACCATACTAGTTCAAAAATGTTCTCCTGCACAAATTTAGATGACCAGCAAGACTCCATTGTTTACAGGAAAAGTATGTTTAGTTTGTTTAGTGTTATTCATGGCAATGTAACACTTAGGCCATCTGCCTAAGGGGCAGATGGCCCTTAAAAAGACCTCCAGAAGGCATCTTCTGGAGGTCTTTTTAAGGGAAACTGGCACCTATTCAGGTGTTAGATGTGGTGAAAACCCAGAAAACTCCATGTGGCAGCTCATCTGAGCGAGGCACAAACCCACGTCTGAACTCCCAGTGTTCAGGGAACGAAGACCGCTTGGCCACTGGTGGGCCCGGAGAAAAAAAGTATGACGTACAGGGACAAGACACTAGTGAAATTGAAAGCAATGTGATGAAAAATTGCAGCCCAGCATTGTGACACAAGGTTACAATAAATAATTGCTTGTAAATTTTTCTACATTTAGTTTATTTTGAAGTTCTGATGTGGTTTCGATTTTTAGTTTGATTATATATAAAACAGTCTTTTTTGACTGATCTTCATAAAAAGTATGAAGATTGATCAAAAAATGATCCTCTCCAGATTTTTACATTTTTGGACTCGGGACACCTTAAAACATTGAGAAATGCAAAAAAATTTGGGGAGTAATTTCTGTATGTATGGATGTTTGTTTATTTTTACATATTATTGGAACTGTTAGTTGACAAAAGATTTCCACCCCCTGAATAACATAATTTATTCGAAAATACAATAAAAAAAATAGCAATCATGAAAAAATGTTAGTGTATGTGTGGCACACCCGTTTATTCACCCTTTTTGAAGCTTAATAACTCCAGTGTTTTTTGTCGAATTTCTGAAAATATGTTAATGTATGTGTGGCACACCCATTTATTCACCCTTTTTGAAGCTTAATAACTCCAGTGTTTTTTGTCGAATTTCTGAAAATATGCAGGGATGTTTGTTTATTAGAGGAATTGATGCTATTGAATTTTGGTTGTGAAAGGTCAAGAGGGTGGGAAGGTAATGGGGATCGTGTGTATCTGCAGTAGGGTCAAGACTTAATGACGATTTTATTCGTTTATTAGCATTTACAATGCTTTATAAAACTCATCCCTACCCTAAAAATTGTCATTTTTATAATAGTTAAAAATATAAAAAGCTTAAAGTTTTTAATAAAATATGATAACAGATGGTGCCACCAAAAATTTAAAGGTCACCAAGAAAGTTGAGTAACTCGTTTCTGGTTTATCTACTATGCTATGTTGCATTTTACATCAATTTCACCACGTAATGAATTATGGCAAAAAATATTTCATTTGCTCCAAACCAAAACAAAATTTTAAATTGATAATTTGTGTCATCACATTTTTGAATAACAAAGTTTTGATTTTTCATACTTAGAATAGGGCGACGAACAATCAAATCTTTTGTCTCGCACCTCCCGAAAAACTTTCAAATTGTAAATTTGGTAAACCATAATTGCCTAAAGGTTATCCATTGGGTTTAGGTCTGATGAACTTGTGGATCAATCCAAAATATTAATTTTTTTTATGAAGAAATTACTTAGTTTCCTAGCTCTTATGTGCAGATGCGTTTGAATGTGAATTTGGTTTGACAAAATCGTCTTAGGAACAATAGCAAATGACACTTCAAGAAACGTTAAGTAAATTAAAGAGCGAATTGCAATTTCTGGCATCCGTTAGATATAAAAGCACTCCTCATCATAACCTAGCCAGTGTCTAAGCTCGTTGTCTTGAAACATCAAAGTTCTTTTCTAGGGTCACACCAATAGCCAGATGGTCAAAGGTTTGACCAACTGGCCATCTAGATTAAATTTGCTTTCTTCTGGAAAGGTCACCTACAGATATGCCAGTGTTTTAGCTTAGATTTAAGTCATTGTCTAATACCAAAGTATAAATAAACTAACCTGTACTTTGGCTTTGTTGCACAGTAGGTCCGTATAGTCGATTTTGAAACATTCAAATTCAGCATTTTCCAGAAATCTCTCAAGCAAACACTCTCCTGGAAGTGAAAGATTGATTTCTTGTAAAATCAGCACACTTTTTACTTCTGTACTCAACAGGAATTTTCTAAAAATTCCAAACATGGTAACTCCTTTCGAGCGATCTGACTCATTTATTTATCCATTTGTGGCTTTTATTGATGTGAAGTGTGCACATATTTAAAATTTATTATTAAAAACAAAAACGACCACCCCATGTTCCATATCTGACATTGGTGAAACCAATTGT